TGTGTTATGAGAATTGTTTTGCACCCCTTTCAGAGGTGACTTATGTTTAATAAATGTCTCTAACAGAAGCATGAGGCAAAATTCGATTATGTGAAAGTCGCAGTATATAGCTGAAGTATAAGGGAATGCGACGTATAGGGTATTACGCACTCAAACAAAGAGGCCTAGAAGACATGTCCTTTCACTGAAAAAACTTCTGTATAAAATACATTATTTCTATCCCCCGCAACGCGTTTTGCGGGGGGTATTAAAATGGACTCCGTTCGTGCGTCCGCGCGTCCATGCACATTTGTCTTTTTCGGAGCATAACTTTCAAACCGTTCAATATTTCTTCACCACACTTCGCACATATATACCTGGTGGTCTACTGGTGCCTTTTGGTAGTTTTGGATTTCTGAATAAAATATTTTTTGCGTTTCCGTGGCAACAAGTTTGACTTAGACTGAAATTAATGCTAGCACTCTTTTCCTGAGCAGAACTCTAAAACCGTTCAATGTTTCTTCACCAAACATGGCACATAGATAGATCTGGTGGTGAACTGGTGCCTTTTTGGTAGTTTTGGATTTCTGAATAATATATTTGTGGCGTTTCCATGGCAACAAGTTGGAAATTGGTGGTATTGCTCTTTTCCGGAGCAGAACTTAAAAACTGTTCACTGTTTCATCACCAATTTTCATACATAGGTAGGTGTAGTGGTGAACTGGTGCCTTTTGGTAGTTTTGGATTTCTGAATAAAATGGTTGTTTTTGTGTTTCCATAGCAACAATTTGGCTTCAACTGAATTTGGTAGTAGTGCTCCTTTCTAGAGCAGAACTTTGAAACTTTTCAGTACTCTCCTTCCACAGCTATATACACACCAAAACATTTGACATAATCATAATTCGTAGACATATTCATGAAGAATATTTTGCCATTGCGGGGGATATTAATGACTTTGTCTTCTTGTTATCTTGTCATCTGAATCGCTTGCTTCTCTTACTCTTATATGCCATCATCATTCCATACCTGCATCTTTCTTCCCTGGGGAAAGCGGCTGATATGATTAGACGAAATGTTCACTCTGATCTTCCTGCTGACCTACATTTCTATGACCTTTCGCCCCCAACATCATGGATATGAGAGACAAGGGGAGCAGTTTTTTAGGTCAAGGATCAAGATCAAAGAGTTTTAAACAGTATCTACAGATACTGAAGTGCAATCTGACTAATAGTGTTTACATTTCTGAAACTGTTACACTTACTAGAAAAGATGGCCAAATAGTAGAGGCATTTCTGGATGATTTTCTTCTTCGTACAGCACAGCAAGCACGGTTTGGTGTTAAACTGTATGTCACATTCAAGTCATGTATAGGGAAGAACCTCCAAGCGATCTTGCACTGTTAATTCAGGGTCAGTAATACGAACGCAGATGTTTAATGTATATATACATATATGCAGAGAGAGAGAGAGAGAGAGAGAGAGAGAGAGAGAGAGAGAGAGAGAGAGAGAGAGAGAGAGAGAGAGAGAGAGAGAGAGAGAGAGAGAGAGAGAGAGAGAGAGAGATCCATAAGTTGTCTCCCTTATGCTTATCCCATCTATATGTCATTCAAAGACTAAATGGTATTTTTCATCGATACATTCACTGTTCAGGGCAACTGATTCAGCTACAGTAAAATGGGCATCAACGCTGAACTATGGAGATCGGGAACTGAACAATTTAATTCACCAAAGTGACTTGATACATTGACAAGATCCACTGGTGAGAACATTTATGGACATCGGATAATGTCGGTGACCTGCGTCTGCAGTTTTGTAGCATGAGATTAAGTTCTTTCTAAGTCTCTGATTAATCGTCTATATCACATTGTCGAATTTAAACTACCCGTGAAGATCCGGTTTAGAACTGGTCTTCAGCAACCCATGCTTGACGGAAGATGCGATCGGGTGGTCTGCTTCGCTGTTTTGACTCATGTCATTGTATCCCAACCGGGTAGATCGGTGCTCATGATGTCAGTCACTGGATTGTCTGGTCCACACTCGATTATTTCATAGTACCGTCACATAGCTTGAAAGGTGCGCAGAGCGGCGTTGAACAAACTGTCCCTTGGTGTTGTGTAACATACGCATCTTCACTCTGTCATCATCGGTGTCACTATAACCCTGGGTACAACAAGGACTGGTCAGCTCGGAGTCAGTATAATGTGTCTGAGTGGGGTATTCATGCTTCACTGCGGCATGGTATCTCAGTGGGTTAGCACTATAAAACCAGCTTAAGTTTGGGCTAGTACAAGCAGCCGCACATACACATACACATGCAGGCACGTCGTCATATGAGCGAAATATTCTCAAGCACGACGTTAAACCCAATTTCACCTCACCTCACTATAACCCACACCTCAATGCCATGCGCCATACATCGCTGTTTGTTAGTATACATCTGTCACCGTTATTAATCTCACTGGGATTCTAGCCAGAGAAAAATATATTTAACAGATTCTACTCGACGTGCTCAAAATAAATGCTGCAAACTGAAGGGAGTTAATTCAAAACATTTCTTTGGGTTTGTATACTTTTCCTTTAACAAACTATCTGTCAGTGCATTTCAGAAAGAAAAATAACTTCACTTGATTTCTTTGTGATCTTACACAAGGTGTGATTGAGGCCTAGAGGTAATAGATGCATACCATAGCACCACAGTAAACTAGGGCTATAGTGAGGGAGTGAGTTTTGTTTTAGGCCGCTTTTAGCATTATAACATCAATAACACGGCGGGGGACACCAGAGATGGGCTTCACACTTTATACCCATGTGGGGAATCGAACCCGGGTCTTCGGCGTGACGAGCGAACGCTTTAACCACTAGCCCGTGTACGCGCAGGTATGTTGCTGGATGTGACATAAAGAGTCACCCTGATTATATTTCCAGTGTTGTAAGCTCCGGTAATCATCTAGGGGCTGCATCTCTCCGTGATACATTGTATAGCCGGCGGGGACACCAGAAATGGGCTTCACACATTATACCCATGTGGGGAATCGAACCCGAACGCTTTAACCCGAGAGGCTACCCACCGCTCCAAAAACTAGGGCGAATTCAAAGGGACCACAAATTTTAGTTTATTTCATGCACATCGACTAATACATAAACAGGTTGGTTATCTCGGTCAGTTAAACGATGTTTACTCTACCTTACAAGGACGGTCATAATTCACATGATACATTGAACACACTTTGGACTGAATAAGGTATATCCGGAAAGAATTCAGTGCTTGATTGCCATATCTTTAGTAGACTGCAACAATGAAGGTTGCGGCTGAATGTCAGTGAATCTCTATCTTACTGTTGGTGATTGGGGTAGTCTGATGGTTAAAGCATTCGCTCGTCGGCGCTGAAGACCGGTTCGAATCCCCACATGGGTACAATGTGTGAACCCAATCTCTGAGTTTGGTTTTACGCGCTTTTGCCAATATTCTAGCAACATCACGGCAGGACACCAGAAATGGGCTTCACACATTGTACCCATGTGACGACCCAATGCTTTAACCACTAGACTACCCCACCTCCCTGTCCCTTGCCGTGATATTGCTGGAATATTGCTAAAAGCATCGTAAAACCATGCTCACTCATTGTCTCACTGTTCAGACTGACTGAGTTTGGTATTACGCTTTGGCAATATGCCAGCAACATCACAGCGGGGATACCAGAAAGGGGCTTCACACATTGTACCCATGTTGGGATTGAACCCGGTCTTCGCCCGGTGACGAGCCAACGCTTTAACCATTAGGCTACCCCAGCCCCTCACTATTCAGAAGTTACATAGGCAAATCAGCACCCTACCCCCACCCACTCGAACCAGACACCAGCCATCAATACAGAACAAACACCACAGCAACACTCGTTCATAACTGTATTTTCAAAAGCCAAACATCTGATCCTGCTGAATTCACAATATTGTTCTCATCCAAAACAGACATGTTTCAAGCAGGGGATACTTTTATTGGATGATTTACATTATATTACAACAAGGCTCAACTCTCACATCTCTCATTTTAAGTCTCACTTACAGTGGCAGCTTCTTAAAAAACATGATAACGTGACAGACTGATGTTAAAACAAGATAACAAATAAATGAAACTTACACTAAATCATAAACAGTGAGCATCTTAAACTGTGTTAAAATTAATTTCAACATATTCAGTTTAATTAGACAAATTTCATCTTCCCCTTGGAGAAATTCTAAAAATGTCACCCATGACAGACCTTATGTGAATGATTTAATACAGCTTCACATATTGCATACATGATCCCATATGTTGGTCTTCAAATTAACACACTTTCATGGATTAGGTTATAAAAAAGTGACTTCCCTGATATGTGACAAATTATATTTTAAGGTCAATTTTCTATACATCATGACTGTGGATTTCATGTGGAACTATGTTTTTTCATTTCATTATTGCTTTGGCTTCAAGGAAGCCCAACCATAGATTCCATGCCAGAATTGGTCCCTTAACCTGTAATCATTGTAAGATGTGGCTAAGTGTATCCAGTGGTCAGGCTCTATAACTTGTTGATTGTGTGTAAGAATAACCCAGTGCATCCTCGATAATCTCCAGGGTATACGTTACGATCACTCTCCACTATACCCTGGATGCATCCACGGCTTGGGGCGATGATTTTATTACCTCCCTTTGCTGGCTTTTTATTGAGTCAGGTGCCTACGCTGGGAAGTTGAGCATACCAATCACTACTCACTTTCGCGTCTTAAATTATCTAACCGTTTAAACTTGGCAACACAATTGATGCAGAGGTACTCTGAAAGAAGTAGAAGGAGTTCTTTCAGGAGTTCTTTCATATATTCTTTTTAAAGTTTCAGATCTGTGAATTTGTCTTTATTATTTCCCCAAAAATCTGAGTGGCACTGCGAACAAACCTTTGCAACTGCGACCACAATCTTTGTTGACACTGGCAAGCTCGGTTGTAACGGCGGCTTAGCTGATTGGCTACTGTGAGAATGAGGAGCCAGCCAAGGGAGGTAATAAAATCATTGCCCCCAAGCCGTGGATGCATCCAGGGTATAGTGGAGAGATCGTAACGTATACCCTGGAGATTATCGAGGATGAACCCTGTGGTGTGGATTGGTTTTATGCCCCTTTCAGCAGCTATGTAGCCATACCATGTGAGACTGTCAATAAACTTCACACAATGTACCCATTTGGAAATCAAACCTGGACCTTCAACAGGAATGAATGCTTAAACAACTTAGCTACTCCAATTCCCAAGAACAAAGAACTGAGATCTGTGATTATGGAAATAAGAAATTATTGCACAAATCAAAGGAACATACTTGCCTCTCAGTCTCAACAGTACTCAAATAACAGTGTTTAGCATGCTGTCTCACCTAAATATGCCCCATTTGGCATAACCTGTAAGACCTCTAGGTAGGGAAGTTCCATTTTACAAGAGATTTTAATTTTCTGACTTTTTCTAATCGAACATAACAATTTCAAATGAATTATTATTAAAATTGAAATTCGGATAAATCGTTTTTGAACTTTTATGTTCATATCATGACAAGGGAGGTACCTCCTGCTAAATTCACACTAATCCTGGCATCTGTTTACTTTGTAACATTTAAAGAAAGTAGTGCTAACAGAATTTCAAACATTTTGGGGATATTGCTGTATGTTATGACTACTTGAGCTAGTAGACAATCTTACTTAATGTGAAACAGGACAAATCCCATGGTACTACAAAAGTCCAGATCGGGCAGATTGTGCAGAATATCAAAAATTCAAATTACCAGTTGATATCATAAGGTCACAATTTGCATTCATAGACTTTAATTTTAGATAGTACATAGTAACCGGGCCCTACTCTCACCCAAAGTCCTCATACTTGGAGCTGTTTTACAGCCACAGATTCCATTGCACGAATACTGCATTATGGCACTGACTTCAAGAGTAGTCTTTAGGAGACAGTTCCAACACAGCTACCTTCCTTGCTCTACATTCATAAGGCAGTGTCAGCAATGTCCTGTAAATACTGAATGTGACATGTATTTTCATATTTTCCAAACATCAACTTTTGATTTTCTGCATTTTTTCACGATGGTCCTTGGAAGATTTTGTGAAAGAACTTTTGGTTATCACCAATGGAATGTCCTTTCCACACAAATAAACCTTATTCTTAAACTCGTCCACATTCAAGTCCGTCAGCTTCACATTCCGCCTCGTTTCTGCAGGCAGTTTTCCATACTTCGTGAAATAGTAGGCCATGATGTATCCTGTCATGAAGGCATCGTATCCTGCACGATGACCTTCCTTTCTGGCAATGCCAAGGTCACTCATGTTTGGTGCCTTTTTCAAACCTGAATCACACGACATGTTGGAACCAGATTTATCGGGATGTGACTTTACTTTGTTTGGGGTTTCATTGGATTCAGGAACAGGGGAGATAATTCTTGATTTTTTTGCCACACTTGGATGAGACTCCTCCTGTCCTTCGTTCCTTGAACCTGAGTCTTCGGTACTATCATCGGTCTCCTCTGTCACTTCTTCGTCATTGACGGATGAGTTTGATTGGTTTTGACGTCGACGCTTTCTCTTTCGACTCTTTCTTGCTCCTTTTATTCCATCCAAGTCAATGATGTCATCTATGTCATGTGACTTTGGACAGCTACAGCCACGCTGGCACCACCCAAAGGACTAAAAACAGAAAGGTTTAACTCCATACAATGTATTTATAAAAAGACCAGTCATCAAGTTACAAATGTTAGTTTTACAATCGCAGATTTTTATCTTCAATACAGAGCTAAAACAAATTTTCAAAATCTGATTATCGCTATCATGTATATTCGATTTTTGTCTTTCATAAGTCTTAGTTCTAACATTATGCTACACACGTTCATTCTGACATCAAAAGTGAGTCACCAAAACCACAAGGGGCAGAGAATCAAACATCATGAGACTCCAGGCCCAGTGAGTGAGTAAGTTTAGTTTTACGCCGCGTTCAGCAATATTCCAGCAATATCACAGCAGGGGACACCAGAAATGGGTTTCTCACATTGTACCCATGTGGGGAATCGAACCCAGGTCTTCGGCGTGACAAGCACACGCTTTAACCACTAGGCTACCCCACTGTCCCCAGGCCCAATGTGCTAAATGAAGGGACTAAGAACAAATGAGGAAATTCATTTGCATGCAAGTTTTCATTTTCATTTCGGGATGAGAACTTGTTTCTTGAGATCTGGGTACCATTGTACAAAACAACCTTAGAGCTAAGCCTACCATAAGTCACGATCACACAATGCCATTTAGAAAGTGGTCAAATATAACGTATGTTAATACTATAAGTGTATGTTAAGCTATGGGAGTCACCTTATCGCTAAGACTACCTTAAGTATATGTTAAGGTATGGGAGTCACCTTAGCACCCTGGCTCTAAAAGTCATTGTTTGTTTTACTGAGCCAGGTCATAGCGTCCCTGTCTCCGTGTTTCTGCAGTTTGGGTTCATAAATTGCAATTTGAATATATTACATGTCACACAAATGATGTTCACTGAGGATACTGAGACAGATTTAGAATTGCTGACATTAACATATATGCATATTCATATTTTGCTATTAATTACAAACATATGCTGCATTTAAATTCAATCACCCTGACAAATATGACAGCTTGAACAGAGGTCCTAGTTTTAAACCTCTAAAGTTGAGAATATGACAAACTTACAGCATACTGATGACAGAGTGTTTGTTGAAGATGGTCGCTGTCAACATCGTCTCCTCGCTCCACCATCGTGTGCGGCAGTTCACAGTGGCTGTAGCGAACGTATGTGTAGGATGAAGGGTAGTCAAGGAACTCAAGGCTCACAACATCCCTCTCATGAGGCAGCGAAAAGCTGTTCTTTCTCTGGCTGAAATGTACCACAGGCACACATGTTACCATATTTACCACAGGCATAAATCTTATTACACTTCCACAGGCATACATATTACTACACCTTCCACAGGCATTCATGTTATCATATTTACCTGGGGCATTAATCTTATTACACTTCCAACAAGCATACATGTTATTACACCTCCTACAGGTACACATGTTATCATACTTACCACAGGAATACATGTCACTACACCTCCCACAGGCATACATGTTATCACACTTCCCACAGGCATACATCTTATTACACTACCCATAGGCATTCATGTTCTTACACCTCCCACAAGCATACAAGTTAGTACACTTCCCACAGTCATACATGTTATTACACCTTCCACAAGCATACATATTAACACACTTTCCACAGGCATACATGTTAGTACACTTTCCACAGGCATACATGTTAGTACACTTTCCATAGACATTCATGTTATAACACCTTCCACAGGCATACATGTTATCACACTTTCCACAGGCATACATGTTATTACACCTCCCACAGGTTATCACACTTCCCACAGGCATACACCTTCCACAGGCATACATGTTATCAAATTTTCCACAGGCATACATATTATTACACCGGGAAAAACACATAACCCAAGGAGGCTAGGAGAAAGCACCAACTCCCGATATGCAAACTCCAAACTTGAGATGGGTTTCTTCAGGTAACCCCCTGACTTACACAGCACAAAAACTCTAGAGAGTGGGCGCTCCCGACTTAATGTGGTTTTCAGCCGCAACTTTTGACAAGCAAAAGGACGCACTTTGGCAAGTAGGCCCCGCCGCCCCGCGATTTATCAGGTGACTCCAGTGAATTAAAATCGAAGATCTTAATCTGGCCAGTCCCTGCTTCGAAACTACCCCCCACAGACACGCTGGACGGCGGTAAAATAAGGAATAGCCCGGTTGCTCAACTAGTTTAACGTTCAGTACCAATCTCCCTAACTTACAAAAGGTGAGAAAGGACTTAGGAGCAGAACGCTTCGAAAAAGACGCAGGTAATCGGAAATCAACACTTCACTGACATGATTGCTCACAGAGTAGAGGTCAGTAAGCGGAATGTCGACCATCTCTGCATGTTGCACAAGACTTGCCTCACAGTCTATCCAGTCATAACTCATGACAGTGCTGACATGCCCTATTCCCATAGGTGGGAATGATCTAAGCCCAAGAGAAAAAAGTACCAAGATATGGATTACATCGATATCTTCTATTAGGTACATAGCAAACCGATCAAGAAAGGATTGCTTTATCTGCGAACATGGGTTGATGACAACTGCTGCTCCAGGACCAAAGGACCAAACTGATGCTGACCTTCCACATCTGTAACCGAGGAATTCCGAAGGTAGTGCGAGGCAAAGACGGTATCCGACTTCCAAAAACAACCCTTCAATTTGAAAGACCTTAGGAGAGACTGGAGTTCATGGACATTGGAAATATTCACACCCGAGGCCGTTGCAATAACCATGTTAAGAGCAGCCAGGTAGGTAGACAGTGTAGAACCTCTGAGTTCCCTGGAGGTTCGGAGATGCTGAAGATAATCTGCCACCATCTGAGGGGATGTCGTAGTGGGGGATGAGATGCCCTTCTTCCTGCAGTATGCTTAAAACTTTCCCACTTGATCTCGTAGAGTGACCTTGTAGTAGAAGTACGATGCACTGTTGTAATGGCAGTAGCAACCCGCTTCGAATAACCTTTAGCCGTTAAGGATTGATGTAGATGCGCCAAATGTGCAGATGGAGCGTCAACAGGGACCAATGTGGTTGGTGGGAGTGCGGATGAACCAGTAGATCGGGTCGATTGGGAAGCGGTACGGGATCTGATTCGGCTAGGTCTTGAAGATTTACGAACCAACTTCTGGCCGGTCAGTAGGGCGCGACCAAAGTGGAGTCATCCTCCGTGTTGCGCACAGTTCACTACAATGCGAGGAAGAAGGGCCACTCGCGAAAACGCGTAAGCATTCAGGTCTTCCCACGGGATGGCTAGAGCATCGAGGTCCCAAGCCAAAAGGCCCAATATCGGTGACACAAACCAAAGCAGCTGATGGTTGAACCTCGTGGCGAAGAGCTCTACTGTCGGAGAAGTCATTGGAAGGCAGAAGGTCTGAAACACCTGAGGATGTAATTTCTATTCCGTTGGAGAAGGACGACTCGGTCAGGACAGGGCATCTGCGATGACATTCTTCACCCCCGGAATGTGGTTGGCTCGTTCCATGATGTTGAGAAAGTCCACCAGATCCAAGAACTGTTGAGTCCACTGTAGAAGCTGTGGAGACCCTGTTGACCCCATTCTGTTGATATGCCAAACCACTGCTGCGTTGTCCGATCTGACCATGAGGGAAGTTGCTCATAGGACATCCTGCCAGTGACTGACCGCCCTGAACTCCAGAATGTTGATGTGACAGGTGCGATCTATGATAGACCAAGCCCTGCCACTTGTTGATTGAGAAGATAGCTCTCCACCCGTGTTGAGACACATCCACATACAGGTGGTGAGACAGAACAAACGGCTCTAAACAGACTCCGCCGAAAACGTTCAATTCTTTCATCCACTACTGAAGATGAGGATGGAGCTCCAGAGGTAGAGGGATCAGAGCACCGGGATCTCCCACTGTGATGTAAGTTGCCACAAAAAGGTGTAAGGGACAAAGTTGTAGTTGACCCCTGAGGGTCAATGCCTGAACAGACGCCAAAAGGCCCAGGAGCTCCTGTCATTGGCGAAGCGTCCTAGGTTGCACTGGTACCAGGAAAACCAACCGCTGTATCTTGCAGAAATGATCCCTTGGGACAAACAGTTTGTTGACCTCTGTGTCAAACACTGCTCCAATGAATTAAAGTCGGTGCGTAGGGACTAGTTTCGATTCTGCAGATTGATGAACCAGCCTAATTGGCGAAGAAGCTGTATCGCAAACTGCATGTGACGAAGCAAAAGGGCATGATCGTTCTGTGCCTGAATACAGTCGTCGATGTAAGCTTCGAACACTATCCCCTTGCAGGATAAGTTCTTCAATCCGGGAGTAAAGTGACAGGAGGATCCGCGATGACTGGCAGCTGGAACCCCTTGGATAACATGGAGAGGACGTTTACTTGGTTCATAGCTTAAGGCCTCTGTTCAGAGGTCACTGCAGCTATATCCGGACAGTTCATAGGCATCGATGTTACTACCTTCGTCTCTATTACGAACGTTGCTGGGGACACTGGTCTTTACCTTTTTCCTTTCCATCAACTATACGAATGTAACATTAGACTGACGATCCCATGCATCGCATCTATTAATTTCAATACCAGTTTGTCGCTCCTAGTATTCACCGAACCGAATGTGTTCGTTGAACTGTCAACATTCGCCGAATCATCTGGTATCTCCATGCGCCTAGCTACTGTCATCATGAATTACTTGCTAATCCACGCATTCTGTTCGGTACTTCAGAGAGTACCTTGCTGTCCATTCACCACTTTGTACCAATGCGTCGCTCTCACAAAGGGAAGAAGAGACCAGTGCATTGTCTCACTTCAGTTCACCGCTCTCGTTCGGACAAACTCATTTGACCGATGCGCCGCATTTGATTGAAGGAGGCACTTCAGCCCAGTGCGCCCTTTCAATTAGATGAACGCTTCAGACCAGTGTCATTTCGATTGGAACAACGATTCAACCTACTGAATTGTTGTTTGATTGGAAACACATTAGTCGAGTACACCATTATTGTATGGACAACTATATAGACGAGTACATTGGTCTCGATTGATTCAGCGCTTTAGATCACACAGCCGAAACCGGATCATCTATCCGATTCCAGATCGTCGAACCACCTTAGAGCGCAGAACCGATCCTGATCACTGAACCATACCAAATGGTTTGAAATTGTTCTTGCAATAGAACCATAGCCGCTCGAATGTATGCTTGCTGATGGAACACAGCAAGTGCACCCGACATTGTCACCGCTCCGGTAGTTGTCAACACCATGTTGAATTGAGCCATATTTCTCCTTATGGCACCATCTAAATGCAAACGCTGACGATCCTCGACCAGGAATGGTGAATTCATCGTTGCCTCAAGGGGGGCGTGTCTCAGTCGGCTGGGTGTTCGTTTCTGTGCATGAGGTGCCTTGTCATTTCTCAAGGTCTACTCCGGTTCATCTGTCCTATATTCAACAGTATCAAAGTCAAGACCTATTTTACCGGTATCCTGGAATCCGGTGTCTGATGGGGCGACTTGTCAGCCTGTTGACTTTGATGCCTTGTGTTATCAGTGGCGTCAGCATACGGCGTGAGGCGCCAGTATCCTCCTCTGTTAATCAGTCATCGAGACCTGCGACTACTCCAGTTCTACCTTGGAGGAGGTTCATCATTCAACGACGTCGTCGCTATCTTCGGATGGTATGTCCCAATCTGATGGTAGCATGGATGTTGTTGACACACCTTAACTACTCGTCAGGATTGCCGATAACCTCCGTATACAGCGTAGTACTTCGTCGGGGGATTTATTATCCATTTTGATATGAAGCCAGGTAATTTTGGTTCCATCACGTTCCCACCTCGACCGTATATCACTCAATTGGCAGTGTCTCTGGATAAGGCTTTAGGTAACTTGAGGAAGATTAAGTCCCCCTTCCAGTGGATGATAATATCACGTTGTTGGGAACTAAACAGAAAGCCTAGACGTAAGATCAAGTGCATTGAAATCCAGGAAACCATATGGGAGCATCAGAAGTAATCGAACAATAGGTACAAGAGGGATACAGACAAACTCACAGGTCTCTTACCATCGTCTGAAGGCGTACTCTAGGTAGGATGCTGGCAGTCTCTCCATGTACTCTGTCATATACTTGGTATCGAACACTCCTCCCTCAAACACTTCCATCAGGTCTGTGACAAATGCTGCCATCGATGAAGGAAGCGAGGCATAGAAGCTCTGGTAAAAGAACACCAGGTCTACCAGAGCATTGTGGAACACAACCGGAATCTTGTTCAGTACCAGGATGTTCATGAGCTTTCGGAGAGACTTGAAGTCCTGGTCTGTCTGCTGAAACAAACCAAAACAACATTCAACGGAATCTGATAACAAAAAATGTGACACAATAATACATGGGAGGTCACTCTTGATGAAGGAGGGTATTTCAGCTGTAAAGCCAGCTGACTCGAACACAGACTTCTTTCAAATGGAACCTGAAATATTTTGGTATAACCTTAAATGTTTCAATAAAATACATCAAGATGATCTCATTTATTCATTTTGTACCAGGAAACTTCTACCAGCATGACAAGCATTACACTACAAATATGATGCTGTCTATGCAAACAAGACGTACATTTTTCTTTTCTTCATTTCTTTTCATGTAAAGGAAGAAGACTATCTTTCTCAATCTTTGCTATTGCCATATTTACTTAATATCCCAACACGAGCTGAATTTGACGTTCTGGTGATTTCGACGATTGCATTGCTCGCGCTATATCGGGTGAGTACGTGTGCGATCGGAGTGCACAAACAGTTTCACTGGTAAGGCGGGTGCCCAGTTGCTGTCGTGAAAAGTTTTATTGACAATGGAAATCGGGAAGTAAAGTTATATAAAAAGCAAACAAACATCAATATTATTTACCCGAGATCATTAATACAACTTCAGATGCAAAATCAGTTGCCTTTATTACAAAAAATAGCAAGCGAAAATTCAGTAAGATCAGTCGTCTGCTGGTGACACGCAATATATAAATAGGAAGCCACGTGACCACAACACTCCCCGGCAGTGGGGAGCAAAAAGTATGGCTCAACGTCGAAAACCCATACAAAATACGAGCGGCCACTGTTTCGCCGATACGATGTCATCAACGCTATTTTTGTAGGAAACACTTGATATTTTTGCGTGAAATAGATGAATATATCCTTTATCACTCGAGGTTAGTAAAATAAAAACTTTAAATGAAATTACAGATAAAAATTACGTTTTTGTCTTACATCGTCGAAAACCCCTGACACCGGGATACAGTATCAGAACAGATGATTGAATTCTCTTCCATGCCACCATAAGTTTCCACCATAGCAGTGGTTAACACATTTGACAGCTATGCCATCTGGGTCAGTAAGTGAGAGAGTGACTTTAAATGGTATTTCAGTTTTATCATGTCATTTGAGCTCAATTTGTGAGAAAAGCCCAAGGAGATGCAGGTTGAAAATACAGCAGCCTCCGGTTTTAATGTCATGTTCCAAAACTGTTGCACTTATCAACAACAACATGTTTATGTGGTGACATGATTGTGGCTGCTTGTACTGGTCTGAAGTAATGCCGACCATTTTGTTCTAGCTCTAAGGGATACCATGCTGCTGTTTAGTGAGTGAGTGAGTTTAGTTTTACGCTGCACTCAGCAATATTCCAGCTATATGGCAGCGGTCTGTAAATAACAGAGTATGGACCAGACAATCCTGTGATCAACAGCATGAGCATCGGTCTACGCAATTGCGATACGATGACGTGTCAACCATGTCAGCGAGCCTGACCACCCGATCCCGTTAGTTGCCTCTTACAACAAGCATGGGTTACTGAAGACCAATTCTAACTAGGATCTTCACGGGTCTGCTGCTGTTTAACATTGATACACTACTCAGACACAGAATCGAGCAGTGGACTCCCTGTTTCATTCCCCTAATTCCAAATGCCAAGGGTAAAAACAAGTACCATCTTTTATCATCTTTAGGTATGACACAGTAGGGGTGACTATTGAGGGGGAAACAACTATTGCAATAGTCTATTGCAACATACTATTGCGATAGCCATATTGTGACCTACTATTGCAATACTATTCAGAGGTACAGATAAGTTGCGTATCTGCTTAAATTACGCAAATGTCTATGTGAAAATTCAATTCCTATTAAGTCTATTGCGTACAGGTACGCTTGAATTTTTGTAAATACTCAATAAATGTGATCTTACACGCGTACACACAAAAATGTCAAATCGTAGCTTGTGTACAGGTGGATAGATAAATAACTGCAGTATATTGGGGGTTCTATTTCAGGACATAAACTTGGCAACTTGCAGTCTTTGTTATCGTTTCTCATATTACAGATCAAATTTAAATAACAAACACTAACATTTAAGCTTTAATATGTTTATAAAAATTAATGGAATATGGCAAAATACCCAAATGAGTTTCAGTGAGGTGAGTACAATATACTTGGTTACTCAAAGGAAAATTAGGATACCCAACTGAGATGAACAAAAGCGAGTACATAACCCAATGGTGAAAAAAGTTATCTGTACCTCTGACTATTGCAATAGTGTTTTCTCCTTGAATTGTCTCATTTGAAGCCATTTCCCAAATGAATGTACAGTTTATATGAAATAAAATCAAGTGGAAGTAGCTTCATCCTCTTTTAATAACTGACAAGAAACTTGCAACCCAGATCAAATAAACAGTGTTTGTTGCCATGCTGTTTCAGGAAGAGATAACGGGCAGATAACTGTAAATCAAAGTGAATGAATCTGGTACTACTTGTATTTCGTGCTGCACATTTATCAAGGGAAGTTAATTACAAAACTATCAATAGTCCCACATACTATCGATGCATCGATAGTTTCTCATTTCTACCATCGATTGTTTGCTATGGAGAGACAACAATTGCAATCCATTGATAGTTCGATGCATCGTTACAGCACTTTGACACAGAATGAGATAACATAGAGTCGAACAAGCCACAGGGCTGGAAATAACTTTTAAATTGCTAGTGTACTCCGGTACAGTGGCACAAGTAAAATCACTTGCCCTGATAATTTTTCCACTATACTGGCCGATTTTCTTGTTGATTTTTTCAATAAACAACATAATTAACATTGGAAAGTCAACTGGACACCGGTACAGTGTGATATACAAATATGCTTGCCCGACAGAAAAAACACTGGACTCGGGCATCGGGCAATGGGTTATTTTCACCCCTGAGGCATGGTTCCAACATAAATTAGTACAATCTCACAATCAAACACAGATTACCTTATCATTTCCCCTATAATATGAAATTCCTTTCGCATACTGTTTGTTGAAGTCAAACCCATGGTCAACCAGGAACTTGAGGGTGATGGGCTCCACTATAAAGTCTTCCTCACACAGCACAAGGATATTGAATGTCTGCACTAAGTATTTCCAGTCATTCTTGGCTTTAGACGGCGAAGTGGGTTCTGTGTCCTTGACCTTGACCTCTGTCGTCTTGATATTTGTGCACTTGAAGCAGGACAGACCCAATGAGAGAACAGACCTTGTCCTGGCCACATCTGCCATCGTTCTGTACCGATCATCCATTGCCCTGGGCAGAAGAACAATCTGACAAGTTTGTCGTTTCAAGCATAAAGTGAATAATACCATTGTGCCATGGGTATAGGCTTATCTTAGAAGTGTGAGCAATCTAAGCATGGACAGGGGTGGAAATAACTTTAAAATTGATAGTGTACTCCGGTACAGTGGCACATGTAATGTCACTTGCCCTGATCATTTTTCCACGATACCGACCGTTTTCCTGCTGATTTTTTAAATAAACAACATAATTAACATTGGAAAATCAACTGGACACCGGTACAGTGTGATATACAAATTTGCTTGCCCGACAGAAATAAACACTGGACTCGGACGTCGGGCAATGGGTTATTTCCACCCCTGATGGTAAAGCTCAAATTTATGGTGTGCATTCTGGAAGAACTGCATTTCCATGGCTTTGTGGGATTTCGATCAAAGATACTGATAGCCCACAGCTCCCTTGGACAACATACAAACTGCTGTGCATGCAATTTAGAAATTAATTAAGGAAAAGCTATAACAAGCTACATGCATTTTATATCTTTGTTACATGTGGACACCGTACTAAAACAGCTTGGATAATCAATGGAAAAGCAAACACATAGTAATAGCGTATGGTCATAAAAACAGAGATGGCTACCATGGATTTACCTAAGCAATTCTTGAAAATCTTTCCTGCTCCCTTCGTGGCGGACGGACACGGACTGGGCTGTCCACCTGGGCAGAATTTCTTCAACCTGACATTAGGAAGGGTGGATGCCCAAAAGTTATTTGTAACTGCAGTGTATTGAAATCTTATGGAAATATATATGTCATTCATCATCTCCATATTTCAGGAAAGTGCCTAAATATGCTAAAGACAAGATTACTGATACACCAATGGTATAATGAAACACAAGATTACTGATACACCATTAAATTTCATTCAGTACTCTAAATGTACTCTGAAGTTTTTCCAGTACTTCTATATTGAAAAAATAAGGAGTATGTACTCCTGATCATGAAAATTTATCTGGAGCCCTGAAATATGATGTCTATTACCTGTGATATAAAAAACACAGATTTAATTTATTTGAATCCGTAAACTAAACAACCCCACTTTGTCATTGCTAGAAAAATCTGAAATTTTCTTAGGTATATAGGTATATACAGCAAATGCTTATAATGTTATGTATTTCTTATATGCAACAATGATGTTCCGTACGTATTCTCAAAACAGTTTTTTCAGGCAATTAAAATTGCATGCAATACAGCGATTACTACTCCAGTAACGTAGCCCGTGTTTTGTGGTATAAACCTACACGTTATTTGTCATCATTCACTTGATGGTCAGGTAATGAATTTATAACGGGTATAATTAGTGGTAACTCCACTCAGATAACCTGACAAAGGTTCCCATTTGGCATTTCTCGTGTCTGGAGTAAATACTCAACATTATCAATTAAGGTCTGATGTGGCAAATGTATTACATGTTATGTAATATGTGCATGTAAGTGCAGCAAGCGGAATTATCAGCTGAGTTACAAAAACAAACATCGATCAAAGGATTAACCGATAACACGCTGATTGATTAATTACTTTTATCTTGCACAGCAGATTTGTCAAAAGGTAGTGTTTATGTATGTAGATTTACTAATCTATACTGACTGACTGACTAAGTTTGGTTTTACGCTGCTTTTAGCAATATTTCAGCAACATCACAGCAGGGGACACCAGAAATGGGCTTCACACATTGTGCCCATGTGGGCATTCGAACCGGGGTCTTCGGCGTGACGAGCCAACGCTTTAACCATTAGGCTACCCCACAGCCCCTAATCTATACTGAATACACCCTGTCATAAAGTGCCTGTGTAAAACAATGTGCTTCCTTCAAAGTATGAACCGCCAATACATTCATTGCTCATTATTGGCTAACTAAATTCCATTTTTAAAGAGTGGCGGACATCTTGCAATTAGTTGCCAGGTGTGCTATCGTTTGTGACCAATGAGACTATACACCAATGTGAAAAACCGGAAACCAGAGACCATATAATATGGTCTCTGCTGGATCTATATATCACTTTTTCACATAATAAACTGTTAAAAGACACATGACATGGAACAGGATTCCTTGTCAGCTGCAGATGAATGGCATATTGTTTATGTGGATATTGATGGATACATTCCTTGAACAAGGTAATACCCTGACATTGTTGCAATAACTATAGTCTGTTTTGATTTATTATATGCATTTTGTTTTTATTCATTTGTTGTAGCATTCAACAGGAACTATTTTTTTCGCTGTGATGTGTAATGAGACAGACAACATACACTAGGTTGCAATCTAAAAAATGTCTAGATATAAGCAGATCGTGTGCTTTGCGGGTGGCGCAGCAGAGGTCATGAACCAGCCAAGAATTCTGGGATATCATCTGGGTACTCACGTGAGAAAAACAATAACAACAGCAACAACCAGTTCATGGAAATTGCTCTGGATCAGTGCCACGTTAAGGATATTTGTAAATACAATTTCAGGAAAGCAGTTTATGGTCTTAACATTTCACACTGCTTATGAAAATGTGTATCATTTTTGTCCAGATATAACATACCAAATCCATCCCAATGAATGTTGCAGACTTGATGGCGAGGACCAACGATGGCCATACTTCCTGGAAGTTTTCCTGGTGTACATCGATGACTGGAACACGGCTGAATAAACTATTGGATGACATCTGGAATGTACAGTATTTGAATAAGGAAAGAGGCATATTTCTCAACAATTCCCTTGTCTGACATGTCATACAGTACTTCAGTTTTGCTACTATGGATCTGTGGACCCCTAAATGTTTCACTTAGTCAAGGGATCTGTGGTTATCCCCGACCTGATGAATCCACTCTCATTGTGATGATGTATGGTGGGTAAAATCGTGTTTACGATTCTGTTTACGTATTTTGCTCTTGTATCGTGACGTGGATGATAAGTCAGTAGATCAGACCTTCTCCGATTCTCATCCATTACCATGATTACCATACATACGAGAGGCATGTCTGTTAACATTTTTTGCCTCGAGGTGAGGTGAGGTGAAATTGGGTTTTACGTCGTACTTGAGAATATTTCGCTCATATGACGACGTGCATGCGCGTGTGTATGTGTATGTGCGGCTGCTTGTACTAGCCCAGACTGAAGCTGGTTTTATAGTGCTAGCCCACTGAGATACCATGCCGCAGTGAAGCATGAATACCCCACTCAGACACATAATACTGACTCCGAGCCGTCCAGTCCTTGTTGTTCCCATTAATGCCGAGCGCCAGGCAGGGACCAACAAGTACCATATTTTAACGTCTTTTGGTATGACACTGATTGGGGATCGAATCACAGACATTCCGCTCCCCAGGTAGCCGATAGCCGCGATCGGTCCTTTACAGTCAAGGGTCATGTCTTGACTGTATAGGACCGCATCGCGGCTCTCGGCTGCTCCCCAGGTAGAACCTCTATCCACTATCTTAACAATGTTTTCATCGTCAAAGGCTCCATGCACAAGATCCACTGTACTTAGTAACTTAGATGAGGAGCACCTTGTACGTCTATCAATTGAAACATCACAATTAATTAAGGTAGTCAAGTACTTAAAAAAAACTAAAACAATATCAGTGAAGTAAATGTCACCTTAATTAACACTGAGAAGCATTCGCAATAGCCTATTGTTTGCTGTAAAATGAAGACTTCGTCTGAACTTGCAGTGCAGTGACGAATTCCGAACGAAAACAGATCGACAAGGACATGTGGATCTACAGCTGATGTATCCAGGGAGAATAGAAGACGTAGATTATCTCTGGTGTATCAAGACTAAAGTCAGTGGCTGATTATGTCATTTATATCACCATGATGACAAAATGTTTGCATTCGTAATCTTGACTTTCTCAAAACACGGGGTTCTTTCAATTCATCTTAAATATGTAAATATTAAGCCCTCACCGACACTCGTTTCCCGCACGTTTCTGCATCTAAGGGGAGTAACTCTCAGACTTGTTTTGCTTTTGAACCACTAAAAATCCTTTCATTCCCGAGAATGCATATGGAAGACAACAACGGTATTGAATAGTTACATGACGCTGTCATAGTTTCAGCAACGGCGAGAATGAATGTTTTGTTCTTAATTTTATTGTCGTCTATCAAAGCCTAACATATACAGACCAGTGCAAAAAGTATTCGGACACTTGACGTAATTTCCATGGGGAACTAGTCAAATGGGCCGAAGGACAAAAGGGCCGAGAAGTGCCAAGTCAAAAGGGCCTTATTCCTAGTCAAATGGGCCGAACAGAAAAAAAAGTTTGGAAAGGTTATACATTATTTATTGACACATATAGCATGGAAACATAATAACCCCATAACATTAATAAAATGGTAATGTCATGGTAATAGCCAAGCCATTCTCTTCCCACAGAGGTTACTTGTCATATCTATGTAGGAAGATATGACAGGAGTAACCTCTGTGGGAAGAGAATGTAGCCAAGCATGTAGTTAAGTTTTCATGTAATGGCAATACATATAGTTAATAATTTACTTAATTAATATAAGTTCACATAATTAACAAAAATAATATAATGGTAATTTACACAAGTACATTCGTTCATAATTTATCCAAGTTCACATACACTCTGGAAGGGTTCACTCGCAGGAAGGCGACTTTTTCAGGAGTGCATAAACATTGGCCGTTTTTCGTTTTCGCCTTCGTGCGAAAAGGGTGGACATTTGCAACAATGGGTTCGTGTGTTTATACAAGAACCCTAATCTTAAGAAAATGAAATTCATGAAAATTATTTATTCTACACTAAATTAACATGTAAGTCTATGGAAATTACGTCAAGTGTCCGATTACCTTTTGCACGACTCTGTATTTTGGATAACGGCAAACTGAGTGCTTTTGCGGTATCGGCAGGTTAAATATATTTTGCTGTGATGGTCTCATGCTAAAGTCAGTTTTTACAGTATAAAACGAATTTTTATATGCTCCCAGCAAAAAATACAGGTGTGGCCTCAAAAGGAAAAAATATCCCATATATGATTTCGTAAGTAATGATCAGTGCCTGGGAAACTGAAGTTTATATTGTACGTGTACCAACTGCAACAAAGAAGTGAGTGAGTTGGGTTTTACGCCGATTTTAGCAATATTCCAGCAATATCATGGCGGGGGGACACCAGAAATGGGCTTTACACATTGTACCCATGTGGGGAATCGAACCCGGGTCTTCGGCGTGACGAGCGAAGGCTTTAACCACGAGGCTATCCCACCGCCCCTGCAACAAAGAAGATAGCTTCACGTAATGGACCCCTTACTTAGTCATTCCGGTAACACCCGCTGTGGGTTAAAACATACAGCTTTGTTTCAGTATAAAAGCTACACACAAACAAAATATGTATTTCATCTTCAATATCTTTGTTTTTATAAAGTTATTCGATAAAAATGTTTACGCAAAGGGCATCAAATGAACCTCTTTGAATTTTATTCATAAATCCTTCTTAGAAATGAACAGTCACGAATTAGACAACAAGTGACATACCGGATTACGAAATGAATTTGTTTAAGCTAAAAACGCATTCATAAGTGACCGTGTTCTGTAAAGACTCGATGTAAAGAGACAGAGACGATAAATACGGGTCCGTTTATATTTCCAAACCAAGCCCAATGTATACATAACCTCTATGACGTCGGTATACAGTATACACATAAGTGAAATCGTTTGCAATAAAGTATTAGCTGTACATTCGCATCAAGAGAGAAGATATGCAAGCACACACTGTAAAGAAACACAAGGAATATTCACTATTGCAATAAAATGCAATAAAGAGCGTATTACGTTCAAGTGACACAGACATGTTTAATGATCTACATATATGCAGAAGCAAAGGAATATGGGGACATTTTTATACACAAAGGTGAAGGATAAGCCATTATGGAAATAAACCCATTTTTCCTGTTGCTATTAAATGTTAACATTTTTTTATTGTAGAGGTCATAAAAACTGGGCATCATTCGTCCGATTTATATCATTTTCGTACACGTTTCGTACATGCATATGTTTGGCAAGCTCAGGATGTTGGTGATGTGAAACAATTTATTAGAATATTAAACTTAAGAACGAAATTTTTCAAAGATCTATGGATGCAAGACTGGTCTGCTCGTATTTAAAAACAAAATCTAGCAATCTATGTAACTAAAATTTTTAATGTCCGTAATGTAAACCTTGCGCTTGTATAACAAACCACAATGTTTGATTTATTTATGTAATTGTACCATAGGCCTCACAGGGCATCGACCGCCTCCGTGGTGTAGTGGCTAGAGCGTCCGCCCGGAGAGCGGAAGGTCGCGGGTTCGATCCCCGACCGTGTCAAACCAAAAGACGTTAAAATATGGTACTTGTTGGTCCCTGCCTGGCGCTCGGCATTAATGGGTACAACAAGGACTGGTCGGCTCAGAGTCAGTATAATGTGTCTGAGTGGGGTATTAATGCTTCACTGCGGCATGATATCTCAGTGGGCTAGCACTATAAAACCAGCTTCAGTCTGGGCTAGTACAAGCAGCCGCACATACACATACATACACACGCATGCACGTCGTCATATGAGTGAAATATTCTCAAGCGCGACGTAAAACCCAATTTCACCTCACCTCACCTCACCTCACCTCACCTCACCTCACAGGCCATCATCTACGAAATAAAGAGTCTGAGTCCACTTTATCTTCAGTAGCAAGAAGCGTCAGGCGAATGTACGAAATAAAACAAAACCTTAAATGCAATATGTGTGCGTGCGTGCGTGCGTGCGCGCGTGTGTGTGTAAATAGATATACACAAGTCATAAGATTCTGGCCAGTCTAAGGGAGGCAACTCGTGAAACCTTAGACGAATGAGCCACCCGTGCCTCCAACACATAGGGACGTTAAACAAATGACTTAAATAGATACACTGTTACCTGAACATCATTCCCATACTTGTTAAAGTGACGTCGAATGATATCATCGCTTACTTGCAACTGCCATTCTTTGGCAATGTAAAAACTCTTTCAGTTTTTTAAGTCGTGTACTGGCATACCCGCACTCTAAGTAGCTGGACATGGCTGTGGTAAGCTGTCTTGCTCTGTGTTCTGGTCATGGGAGGTAACTCTTAAGAGACTTTCGCATTGTGTGTGGTACCATTGAATATGGAACACAGAGTTCATAAAATAATCACAATAATACTTTATTGTCGCAGCTGAACAGCATACATGTAATGTCTTTACGACTCATCTGTGCCATTCATTACCCGCTCTGTTACTTTTCTGCAAGGGAGGCAATGCGTGAGTTTGGTTTAACGCGTGTTTGACCAGTATTCTATTCAGCTTGACTGATAGGGCGCGGAAAGGGTGGGCAGTTGGGTGTGTTGGGGTGGGTGGGGTGGGAGGTAAAAGGTCGTGGATGGGTATCACTTTTATGAAACATAAAAGGACCGGTATAGTTCTAACAAACCCAGATACAAGATCGAAGCAATAATCATTCGTTTCACTGAGAATGCAACCTTTCCATTCCACTGGAACAGTGGATCAGCCTTGTAAGGGAACCAGTGAACGCATACCCGTGAAGGTCCGGGTGAGAATGAACCTTCAGTAACCCATGCTTGTCGTAAGAGGCGACTAACGGGATCCGGCGGTCAGGCTTGCTGACTTGGTTGACACATGTCATCGATTCCCAATTGCGCAGATCGATTCTCATGCTGTTAATCACTGGATTGTCCGATCCAGACTCGATTATTTACAGACCGCTGGAATATTACTGAGTGCGTCGTAAAACTAAATTCAATCACTCACTCACCGAACGCATACTATGTTAAACATGTTAGGGACTTCCCATTATAAATACAGGTAATCTGTCATGACAACTTATAGGGTCTGCTGATGAGCGTAGATTACTTTTGTAAGACCTTCTAGATTTGCATATTGCTTTCTCAAGTCTGAGATTAAAATATGGAGAATAACTACTCCTCTGATGGGGGCAATAGTATATGACGTTACAGGAGGAGAGTACACGCTGGTTAGATCCAGTTACCATGGCAACCAGACAAGGAACAACCTGACTGCCAAACATAAAACTATAAAGAGCCATATCATATATTCGATAGATTTTTAAACATAATGTAGACATCTCTCTTTAGAGAGTACTTATCACAGTCGCCTAGTGCGTGTAAGTAATGCGCTGATGTGCCTTTATTAATCAGTGTTGTTTATGATTATTACAGACTGTATGCAGTGTGAATCCATTTATTATTGATGTTGTGCAGTGTTGTACATTGAACCCCACAAGGTGAGGTGAGGTGAGGTGAGGTGAAATCGGGTTTAACGTCGTACTTGAGAATATTTCGCTATGACGACATGCATGCGTGTGTATGTTTGGCTGCTTGTGCTTGCCCAGACTTAAGCTGGTTTTATAGTGCTAGCCCACTGAGATACCATGCCGCAGTGAAGCATGAATACCCCACTTAGACACATATTATACTGACCCTGAGCCGACCAGTCCTTGTTGTACCCATTAATGTCGAGCGCCAGGCAGGGAACAACAAGCACCATATTTTAACGTCTTTTGGTATGACGCGGCCGGGGATTGAACCTGTGACCTTCTGTTTTCCGGGCGGATGCTCTAACCACTACACCACGGAGGCAGTGAACCCCACAAGTCATAATCCGTTACTTCTTTGTGGGAGAGGCTGCTCCCATGAAGAATAAGACCGCTATTGATGGAGGGTAACGGTATGTGGCACACGAGAAACCTATGAACGTGGGTTCGAATCTCAGTCCGTGCGGATAAAGCTTCCAGATTTGTCAGCACCATTACTTGTTGGTTTCACCAAAGCGGTAAACGTCTGAGTGGTCTAAGAGGCTATACTTCGGGAAGTCCTCCCACATTAAACACGCCATAACAGAAACATAGAGTTCTAAGCGGCATCTACCAACTCACTCACTCAACATCGGTGGTACTGTGTCTACTTGTGAATCGAAGGGGCACCTGAGACCCCTAGGCATACCACAAAGTTAGGAACCTTGGTTCGAGTTCCAGATAAGCTTCTTGGTTTGATAACACTCAACCCCTCCTGGAGGCTTTTAATCAAAGTCTGTTTTTACTGGAATACTACTTAGGGGGACATTATCCTAAACTCCCTCACTTATACAACGTGGATCCATGATATGTTACATTAATTGTGCGTGACAGTCACGCGCCATTTCTCTCTTTACAAGTACACAACGTGAACATACCCGTTTAACACCACTGTTAATATTCAACTCAAACGAAATAGACTAGAAATAACAGGATTATAAAATCAAGGGCGGTAACTCGTGATCGGCGATCGAGCAGCAACGTACCGCAGTTAACGGGGCAGCTCTAAATCGTGTGTATCCATGCAAATAGTCTTTTAATGATGCTGCTGCAATAAACTGATAGTCATACCTTTAGCAAAAAACGTTTCACTGGATTTCAATCAGTGTCGCGATAACAAGTATTCCATTCGTATATCGAGTTATTCATACCACCCACCCCTCTTCCCGCTAACCCGTTGAAAGATAGGGAATTTATATATTTCCTGTAACAATGAGCTACAACCGGTTTGTTCGGAGTAGACAGGCCTCCATTTCATGTCGGAAGCGATAGTTGCGGTTTCCTAAATTGTTTTCTCGATGGTCGCTCACCCGTTTCAAGTAGTAACGTTTAGTCGTTTTAGAGCGGACATGTTTCTCTTATCTTCACGGGACGTCCCGTACTGGTCGGGGTATACAGGGTAGTCATGTCTTGGTATTCAACAAGTGGTTGTGTTCCGACATTCGGCAGAGACAAGCCGTGTTTACATTTCTTCACGCCATGTCTTTAAACTACGTCGCTTAGCTTGTGATAGTATTCGATCGCTTCAAGTCATGGTGGGAGTTTGCTACCCGTAACATGTGCATGGCGGTTTTAAGACGAGGCGCGGACGGCAGTGATTGACTGAAATGTACATGAGTGTATAGATACACGAAGATGGCTCCTATCACTCGAGTTGCGGTCACGGATAAGCTATCAACAAGCTAGGATTACTGGTCCTGCTGTATATCCCAGGCTGCTCCTTATCGAGTGACCTTCGACAGGTTAAGAGGTAAGTAATGTAGATTTTGGGCAAAGGATTAACACCTTATCGAAAGAATTGCAGGAGTCGTATCTCCATTGTTGAAACTGTTAATGTGCATTTTGATACTATTTCCTTAATCAGGCGTTGGTTGTTGATGTTTTTCACTTTAACATTATTTTGAATCTAGAAAATCCAGGGTGTTTAATCATTTCATGAATACAGATAATAACTCATATAATTCATGCCTCTTTATAATCCTGTGAAACTAGACATGCGTGAGTGACCGAGAAGGGTTTTAGTGAGTGAGTCAGTGAGTGAATTTGGTTTTACGCTGCTTTTAGCAATATTCCAGCAATATTACGGCGGGGGACACCAGAAATTGCTTTCACACAATGTACCCATGTGGGGAATCGAACCCGGGTCTTCGGCGTGACGAGCGAACGAACGCTTTAACCACTAGGCTACCCCACCGCCCCTCTGAGAAGGGTTTTAACGCCACCTTGTCTGTCGTGGCGTGTTAACTGAAAATGGCAAGAAAGCCCTGGGTGATGTAGGTCTCAGATATTTACCAATTTGGTGAGGGTATGGTACTGACAGACCGAGAAACACAATCGGGGGGAAGCGGGATTCGAACCCACGGTCATATGTTTCCAGCGTGTACAAGGTACACATCTCTGCCTAGCGAGCTGCGGCACCTGGCCACCTATGTCCCCACGACGAAAGAGTTGACAGTATTAATACTGGATAGAGGAGGTTTACTGCACAGAATCATGCCATATTATATCTACGATACTGGGAAGGTGGGGTAGCCTAGTGGATCAAGCATTCGCTCGTCACGCTGAAGACCCGGGTTCGATTCCCCACATGGGTACAATGTGTGAAGCCCATTTCTGGTGTCCCCCGCCGTGATGTTGCTGGAATATTGCTAAATCGGCGTAAAACTAAACTCACTCACTCACAATTCACTCTATGTCTGTGTGTGCAGTACGAGTGTCAATCAAACTGCCTTTAGCTTTGGATGGGTAACAAATTGAATGTTTATGATGATGCAGATTTTGAACATTGACTCCGGGGAGTCACAGTGTAGGACTCATTACGCGTGGGATTCGATCAATCCGTCTGGCCATTAGGGTGGGTATTGCAGAGAATTTTCATATTGCGATATATTGCGATGCGAAAGCATATATTGCGATATGTATTGCAATATATTGCAGGAAGTTCTTTTTAACAAAAACTACTTATAATCGAGTTATTGCTTGATTTATAAAGCAAAAACACAACAAAATCACTATGCTTGACTAGGCTTTGATAAAAACTTTTAATGATGACAAAATAAATATGTAAATAATGTTTGGCACAAATGAAACAAGGAAAGGAACGATTTAAAAAGTTTTCCGAATGAATGTCAAAATACCGGTTTTCGATCAGCATATCGCAATACGTATCGTGTTCATGGCTGAACCGGTAAATACCGGTAAACCGGTTATATTGCGCAGCCCTACTGGCCATCACAGTACAGTATTCGCTGTATATTGCTGGATTATTCAGGATTAAAAAGTACAGTGTGTGTTTAATGATATACTTTGTGTTTCATAAAATACACATTGTCATGTTGTTTTCGTCTCTCGGGGTTCCCAGCAATTAAACGTTGTAGTTTACAACAGCTGCAACAACCAATCACTGTGATTACAACGACATGCGCCATGAAAAATGGATGCACATCATCAAAGTGACGTTACACAGTGCACTTCAGACATGCCTCTTTGGAATTAATTATGCGAATCCACCCAGTAAACTATATACAATGTATTGGCTGTTGTCATAATGTTCAATGTACTTGGTGATCTTTTTATATATTTTCTACTATTTTGTTGTTGTGTAAGTGTTTAGTACTGTTTACTGTTAGAGTGACTGAGTGAGTTTAGTTTTACGCAGCACTCAGCTATATTCCAGCTATATGGCGGCGGTCTGTAAATAATCGAGTCTGGACCAGACAATCCAGTGATCAACAGCATGAGCATCGATCTGTTCAATTGGGATACGATGACATGTTCCCGTTAGTCGCCTCTTACGACAAGCATGGGTTACTTAAGATCAATAGTCACGGGTAGTTTAGTGTTAGAATTATTCCATAATTGTATTCAAGGTGCGTACATCACTGCAGCCTCATTGGGCGGGAGTATACTTTAATTTATAGTAATATACAAGTAACTTCTATACCTAACATCATTACGTACCTCAAAAACATATTTATATAAGTAGTTATGCAAAAGGCCTGGGTTTGAATACATGTACGACATGTGAAATCCACCTGTGCCTTTCTCTAGTGATGTTACTAGAATGCTGTAAAAACCTCACTCGCTTACTATACTGACTTAAAGTAGTTTCTGAAAGAATATTCATACTAACAAATCATCCATTATCCAGAACGTAATGATCGTACGATGAGCACAGCTTGTCCGTTGTCAACGAGGGCGATGGAGACGCCGAGTGAACGTCCATCGAGTAATGAATAACTTTCTGGTAGAGAATGAGCTGTGGTTTGGTCCACTCTAAGCACCATCTAGCCCTTTTATTATGTGGAACGAAATAATGGTATTCGTAAAGTGTATCCATGTGTGTAATCGAATCCTGATCTTAACAGTGGGTACCTCGTCGAGTCCCTATCCGTTTCCGGATCATGCGACTCGTGAAGATTCGGGTTAGAGTTGATCTTCAGCAAACCATGCTTGTCGTCAGACGCGACTAACGGGATCGGGTGGTCAGGCTCGCTGACTTGGTTGACACATTTCATCGGTTCCCATTTGCGTAGATCGATGATCATCTTGTTGATCACTGGATTGTCTGGTCCAGACTCGAATATTTACAGGCCGCCGCCATGTAGCTGGAATACTGACTAGTGTGGCGTAAAACTAAACTCACTCACTCACTCCGGATCATGCAATTATGTTTACTGTAATGTCAAGTTTCTTCTTGAAACTTGGATAAAATTTGTGACTGAACGTTCCTTGAGACCTCAAGTGCCCGCCACCTATTATGAAATAGTACTTGGAGCTGACATTGCTTGATACCCGTACCAAATACATCAGCATCAAATACGTATATCGTTCCAGCCATTATCAAAAGTAAGTGTATACTTTTCCGACAGTCATCCATGGTAATCGTCCGTTATTATTTTTAGCGAAGAAACCAAGCTGCATTCCGTTTGATTTCGTTTAAGACCGATGCATTGCTCACTAACTCAAAATCTAATAATTGCAACAAAACCAGATTTTGTACAGTCACACGATATTGACAGACCAACTCTGATGATTTGTAGCGGTAAGTGACGACAAAATAATGATCGTTTGTTAAACAACTTTTTTAATCGGGTTTCCAAAATTATGAGACAAATCATCAGAGTTGGTCTGTCGATTTTATGTGACTGTACAATGTTTGGTTTTGTTGCAATTATTAGATTTTGTGTTAGTCAGCAATTCATCGGTCTCAAATGAACTCAAATGAACTTAACAGTTTTATTAGTAGACCATCCTTAATTTTGAATACGCCAACCGTACTCGAACAACCTATAGTCGCCAAGTCGAGTACTGCATTGTAAATCTTTTAAAGTGTCCCCTCGATAACCCACACATTCTCTCAAGTTCTCGATCTATTATGGGCTCTTCTCGCACGCGTGAACGTTATATAAATGGGGTAGTGCTTAAATACAGAACATCAGTGCAAATAATACCCAGTCCCGACCATCCCCAGAAACAAATTCCGTTTGGTGTAAACGGGAAATTGCTATGAAAATTATATGAATCACTGAAATCAGTTAAAACGTTCAATATCCCTCGATCACCACTACCAACAACGATTGCTACTATCATGTATAAGTATCACGGTGGCAAGAGGTCTTAAATGTTTTAAAATACTGAAATTTTGTCATGGCACTATCCCTCTTGCACAAGATGCCTAATCTTTCAACATTTTACAGTGTGAAACTGCAACCCAAAATATGAATGCAATGATATGTTGTGGTTCAAATATTATATTTGTCACATCTGGAAGATTTGAATGGAAGTGATTTTAAGAAATGTAATGTTCGCTTCCTATTTACAAAAAGAGTCAAAATATAATTGCAAGAAACAGACCTGGCGCATTGTTGCGATATTCGTTTCCTATTGTCTGTGCATTTCCAAATGTGTTTACATAGGAAAGTGCGTATTTTGTAAGTTGCAATATAATACGACAAGTTGCAAATAATCAGGGGCCTGTTTCACAAAGCGATCTTAGCGCTTCAACTGTCGTAATTCTATGCTAAAGTATGGGAGTCGCGATCACCTTAGCGTTACGATCGCGTTGTGTAATGAGGTCCTTGGCAAACCAGAAGTTGACAGAGTGAACAACGAACTGCATGCTCATTGGGATAGTCGATTCTTAAGGCAACCACTTGATGACTATCCTGCCCCACTACTCCAAGGATGTAACATGTTATATTGCATCCAGCAGAGGTAGCCTGGTGGTTAAACATTCGATTGTCACGCCGCAATCCCGTGTTCGAATCCTCACATGGATCCATAGTGTTTCACGCCGCGGTGATGCTTGAATATTGCTAAAAACACACAACAACTTCTAAAAGGAAGAACCTCCTGTTTCGAATTTGGTTATTTGCAAATCCTGAATATGAACCGAAGTGAAATTATGGAGCTTTCACATCCCTTCTTCACTATTCATTTATTCACCACTCATTCACTAACCCATTAACTTTGTAGGCTTGCACTAAATGGATGATCCGATGTGGATTTACACAAATCTGTTAAACGATAAGAAAGGAGTACTGTAGTAAACTCTCTCAGAGATACACATTGGCTGTTCCAATAGCTGCAGCTTTCAGCAGTAACTATATACCATTATACCATTATGCCATATACCCAACAATGTGGTTGACAGTCAACACAGTAACGTTATTGAAGCGCTTTGTGTTACTCAGCCTTTTTAGCAATTATTCTTTGTAAATACGCGAAAATTAACAAACACTGTTGTCA